CCCCCGCACACCACACATCCCCCCACCATTGCGCACCATGCATGCATTGACGGCCACACACGGCAGCCTTGGCTGCCGGGCCGGCTCATGTACACAACCTGGTCACACAGGGGAGCAGCAGCTGGCTGCCAGGAGTAGACTAGCAATGGCTGCAGGACGCCAAAAGGCAGCAGAGGCCAGGAGGCAGCAGCACGGGGCGGCGGGCGACACGCACACAGGCTAGAACTTGGCCATGCGCTTCAGCTTCTCGCGGTCGTGGATCGCCTTGGTGGAGGCCGAGTGCTGCTGCTGCGCCGCCGCCAGCTGCGCCTGCGCCTCGGCCAGCGCGCGGCGGATCTGCGGGATCATCAGCTTGTCCTGCGCATTGCGTGCCGCCATCTCCCTACGGGCAGGCAAGCAAGGGGTGAGCGCCTGCGGGCGCACGCCCAAGCGTGCCGCGCAGCCACTGCACTGCGCTGCAGGCAGGAGCGGCTGGCGCCTGGTGCGCTTCCACCCCCGGCCGCTGCCTGCGCCGCACCTCAGGTGCTGCACTTTCTGGCCCAGCTGCGCCAGCTCATCTGCCCGCTTGGCCAGCTGGCGCCGGTCCTCCTGCTTGGGTGCAGCCGCCTTGCCCGTGCCCGCGCCGCCGCCGCCGCCGCCGCCGAACAGGTGGCCCTGCCGGGTGGCGCCCGCCTCCCCCGCAGGCCGCATGCCCAGGTTGGCCTCCTTCACCGCCTGCGCCACACTGCCATCGCCGATGATGCTGTTAAGCACGGCAAACAGGCCCTCGCTGCCCGTCTTGCGCTCCAGCTCCCACTGCGCCTCCCGCTGCGCCTCCCGCTGCTCCAGCCCCGCCCTGGCCGCCCGCTCGCGCCGCCGCTGCTTGCCGCTGCGCTTGCGCTTGCTGCTGCCTGCGGCAGGGCGACGGCGCGAGGCGTGGGGGATTGAGCCTTCCGGGGCAGGGAGGGCGTGGTGGCACAGGCAGCGCTTGGTTCAGCTTGCAGAGGCTGTGGCAGGGTGGCGCTGACAGGCGGTGGCACAGGGGAAGGGCGGCGGGCGCACCCTCGCGCATGCCGCCACCGCCATCCACACCCAGCCCAGCCCCTTTCTTCAGCGCCGTCGCCGCCAGCGCCTGCTGCATGCCTTGCTGGTGCCGCCCGAGGCCGTGGCCGGCCCCCTTGAAACCCATCCTGGCCAGCAGCTGCAGCAGGGGGGGAGGCAGGCTCAGCGGAGGAGGCCAGGGGGATGGGATGGGCCCCACATGGATCCCAGGGCCAGCCAGGAGCAGGCCCTGCAGGCAGAACCCGCAGGCACCACAGCTGGCAGGGGCAGGTCTGGTGCCTGCCGCCGGCGGCAGCCCGCACACCCAGCCGGCCTTGCCTTGCTGCCGATGCCGCGGCTGTGCGCCTCGCTGCCGAAGAACAGGCTGGTCTCGGTCTGCGGCCCCGCCTGCGCCTGCTGCTGCAGCAGGGTGGAGGCCTGCCCCATGGCCAGGCTCACACGCCCAAAGGCGGCGGCACCCAAGCCAGACCCCGCCTCCTCCTCCTCCTCATCCTCCTCCTCCTCCTCATCCCCAGCTTCATCAGAGTCGCCGCCTGATTCCTCGCTGCTGCCCTCGCCACCCACCTCCCCGCTGCTGCCTTCCAGCACGGAAGGAATCCCGCCGCCGCCGCCGCCGCCGCCGCTGTCGCCGCCGTGCGGATTTGGTGCGTACGCCGACAGGGCGACAGCCGAGAGCGGCAACACATGCCGGCGCCTGTCTGCCGGCGTGATGGCGGCCACCTGCTGCCCCGCCGCATCCACCTCTGCCAGCTCAGCGGCCGACCACAGCAGGCTGCCCTGGGCCCTCACAACCACCCGCGCCCCCGCCTGGAGCTGGGCGGGATCGGGGAGCAGGCTGGTGCCGGGCACCGGGTGCAGGGCGGCCGCTGGGAGCGCCACAGGGTCGAGCTGGAAGGCCCTGCACCCCGCACACGCCACACACCAGGGCGATGAGCGAGTGGTGGCTCAGCACTGCTCCCTCAGGCAGCGCCCTGCACCTGCGGGGCTCACCTCGTCGGAAACATAAACTCCAGCTGCGTGGCAGCGGCGGTGCTGCCTGGCAGCACGCGCCCAAAGTAGTGCCGCCCATCGGTGTGCCTGAAGATGCATGCGCCGCCTGGGGGCAGCCCCGGCGCCGAGTCGCCGCCGCCGCCGCCGCCGGCCTGCTGCTGCCCCTGCTCCTGCGCGTCGCCCCCGCCGTGCAGGGCATCCAGCTCACCCAGCAGGCGCTGCCGCTTCAGGCCCAGCAGCGACTCCTCGGTGGCCTGCCTGGCCGCCTGCAGCTCGGACAGAAGCTCGGCCAGCTCTGTGCTGGCAGGCTCCGCCGCCAACAGCTGCTGCACTCCGACCACCGCCTCCTCCTGCTCCGTCAGCTGCTGCTGCAGCTCCGCCTCAAAGTCTGCCTCCATACTGGCTGCCCTGGCGCCTCTCTGGATGCTGGCTGCGACCTTAACAGTGCCAGCGGCAGAGGGCGCAGGGAGGGGCGGCGGGGCCCCGGGAGGAGCGGCCCCCCTAGCCGCTCGCTGGATTAAGCGCTGGTGCTGCTGCTATTAGCACAGTGTCTTGTGCGCCCCGCGACTCTACAACTCTGCGTTTGCAGCAAAACAGGTGCCTGCCCAGCGCCTTTGAGACTGGGGCGCACAGTGTCCTGCAGAGAGTTGAGAGATGGGTCTGACGAGATATTGAAATAAGTGAATGCGCCAAGGGCTGGAATGGACGCGGAGATGAGGGAGCCTGCCAGCGGGGCACCACCACGAGCCGCCGCCGCCGCTGCCGCCTCTGCTCACTTCACAGCAGGAGGCACTCAGCGCAGCCCTGCGCCTATAGCAAGCAGACCTTAGCGACATGCCGCCTTGGATGTCAGGCGTAATTCTGAAAGG